GAGGATCCGGGCAAAGAGCCACATATAAAGGACTCTTCACCCCTGCCTCCAAAAAGAGCGCCGTGTTTTTTCCTACCTCGCTGCCCTCCACTTTCCCATTCTGGAGCGCTAGCTTTCGCCCCCCCCCTTGGCCTCAAGTGAATCATAATCATTGGCCTCAGGAGCCAAGTAAAGGGAGATTCCATGTGCATTTTTTCCAGTGGAAAAAAACTTTTCACAATAGAGGTCCCAAAAACAAATTTATTATTGAGGATCAGGTGCCTTCCTGGTCTACTACCTTGAAAATTTGTTTAGGAGCAATGTTTTATAAAGGGTTTAATTGGGGAATTGGTGGTTTTGGTCAGCTGTCAGTTTTGAAGAAGCCTAGAGAAAGCTATATCAGCTAATGAATCATAATCATTGGCCTCAGAAGGAATTCAAACCCTGATTTATTGGGTTTCCACTATAAAAATTTAGGGCCCAATTTTTTTTTTAGCATTATTGAGGTACCATTTTTCAAACAGGGGGGTCTGAATAATTTTGGAAAAATTTAGCATTATAGAGGCACCCTTTACTAATCGTGATCCAACATTACCAGTCTTGCATCACATCCCAGTAGACTGGCTTCTGAAGTTCGCTTTCTTTCTGGCACAGCTACTTCTTGTGCCAAAAAATCGGACCACCTGGAGGCGACAAACCTTGCGCGTCGCCTCACCTCACTGGCCAGTGTGACAAACCCTTTGAACTTCCAAAGTCGTAAGCCAGGCAACTCATTTTTCGGGTCTCTTTAAATGCTCCACAAATTGGAAAACAACGCTGGCCGCATGGCCTCAGAGCGAGCCACATGAAACCCCTTTGCAGGAGTGTTTCCAGACTGTGAGGCCGGGCAAGCAAGAGAAAAACACAAGCACTGAGCACAGGCCAATGGCCACGTAAAGAGGGGCTCGGAGTTTTGTTGGTTCCATTTTAGTGTCAGTGTTAGAGCAGTGCTAGATTCGAGAATACAGGCACACATGCTCACGGTATGTGTTCCAATACATGTTATTTATTTCTCACAACCTATTGCCACGCAAAACAGGTTGAGGCCGCAGCACCATCCCTTGGCCCCTCCAACCCCAAAAAAGTCACGACACCTGAACGTAATGAAATGACTCCCGAATAGCACGAAATTGACTTCACGACGTGTGTAGTATAACATGTTTTTGCAGTTTTTTTCACAAGGCATTACGAGGCATAATATATATTAATACAATTCCACGTGCAGAATGGTTGCTGCCCTGTCTCTGGCCAGCCTTGTAACGTAGCCCCGCCAGCATTACCCAAACCAAAAATGTTCTGACGCTGCCTGAACATCTCTGGCGCGCTCCCCCACCATCGCTGGGGTCGGCGGATATTGACACTGCATACTATACATTCATGTGTATGCGCAAAGGATGCATACTAAGTACTACAAGGCACAAACATTGGCAGCAGCATGCAGCAGTCTCATGAGCACGACAGCCTTGTTCAGATGTTGGCCTTCCAGAAAACATATTATTGGTCATTTTCCTGAATTGTGGTGGGGAGGATCTTTGCAGCATGCTGCGGCATATTGACTTGAAGGAAATGTGCAAAAATGCTTCAGACCGGGTTGCTGGACAGATGCAGGCCCAGATGGCAAGAGCGAATGTCAAAGTTGAACTATGTAGATCCCCAGGATTCCCAGCACAGTGGTGGAAGCACTGGCGCTGGATTGCCGGATGATCAGTGAAATAGAGAGCAAAGGTGCTGATGCAAGCTGTAAGCCTAGCCACCAGTGGCCATATTGGAAGATTCGGCTCCACTTTAGAGACGTTCAGTTTGTGTATTTTGGCTGGAGTCTTGTGGTCAGATGTTGCAAATATGTTTACAATCCAATGGAACAAAACAGCGCAGTGAAGAGCAACTGGGCAAGCCAGCCGCGAAGGCCTCCCTTCGCAAAGCTGGAGTGGAGATTTGAGGCGATGGCAGTCCATCGAGAAGCCAACAGATTGAAATTAAAGTGGTGACTTTGACTTAAACAAGTATAGACTGCATAAACAAAATAAAAGTTCACAGGATCTATCACACTACATTTCCTTGTAGTATGAAGATGCTCTTTTTAATTGCTCTATATAACCCGGATTCCATTCGTGCCCAATTGGCCCATGATTGAAGTCTCGATCGTTGAATGATTTGGCATTTGGCCAATCTGTGCTGCATACAGTATACGGATAAAATCGAAACACACAACCTAGCTCAAACCTAAGCCCAAACCAAGCTTCACTTTTTTGTGCTGTCATTGGTTCTGCTTGTGCGCGGAGTTGATTGATCGTGAACTGCTCACCGTTTGCAGGTTTGGGCGAACTTCGGCGAACGGGCCGAATCGTGTACAAAGCAAGGTCGCTGCAGATAGAACGTGCTGCGACCCTCGATGAATCAGTGAAAAGCAGCCCTTGTTGGCCATAGTATGCCATAGTGTAGTTCTATGATGTTCTATGTACAACTATAGATACTGTATACATATTTCCGCCGACCATGGAGTCACGGAGTCATTGGCCTCACACATCCCTCACATGTGAAGCCGAGGTCAGACAGCGGCAGTGGCAGGTCCCAAACGGCTGAGCTCCGAGACCTACAGGACACTGAAAGAGAGCAGAGCAAGGGGTGCCGAGACACAAGGAACGGTAGTGACATGTAGCGACATGGCCTGTGGACCGTTCAAGGCAGGAGGACCGTGCCCAGGACGTTGAACCTGGCCTTGATTCTTGATGGCTTGACCCGGATCGCCATCCTGGTGCACCCGGATGGCGTGTGTGAGACGTGTGAGTGTGTCGTGAATCCGGTCGAGCCTCTGAAGTCAAAGCCCACACTTTGAGTCCACGATCTTTTGCATGAAGTGCAAACGAAAGAAGATATGCGGAATGGTGATGCATGGTGATGCCATTTAGTATCATTTAGTATATATATAGTTAAACATGCCCAAGTTGTTTTAGTGTTCGCAGTTGGCCTCAGGCCGGTAAAGTACTTTGAACTTGCTTCGCTTTCGGGTTTGCAGATTGCAACCGCGGACAAACCTCCGGCACTTTTGGCCCGCGTTCTCGCGGGGACCTTGTGGACTCTGACTCTACGGCGCTTCTTGCTCCTAGTAGTAAGGCCAGGAGCCCCTAGTAGCGTCCTTGCTCCTAGTAGCAATGCCGGGAGCCCCCAGTAGCGTCATTGCTCCTAGTAGGCCAGGAGCCATGTGATTGCGTCTTTCCTGTTTTGGACCGGTTGAAATTCAATGAACTGATGCAGCTGATGCTTTTCATTTTGGACCTAGTAGCGTCGGGTTGTCGTGTGCTGCCTTTGTTCCATCCTTGGTTTGTTCCAGAACATCCTCCAGTAATGGAATCCTACTTGTAAGTGCTGAGGTCTTGCCAGCCGTGGAACTGTTTGGCGCATTGGGCGGCCAAAGCCTTAAAGCAATTGAGCAGACTATGGCACATGTGAGGCAATCAGCGGTGTGAAGTCTTGATGCAGGCCCCACCTGATTCGAGTTACAATTTGGAATTAGTTTCTACTGCATTATAATTATAACATGCCGTATTGATCAGTATTGGTTTATTTGCCGCTCGTTGACCGAAAATAGCTTTGAAAGGGGGGTTCCTGATCTAGGTAGGACATTTGATGCAAGGGCACCGAGCGTTGATCAAACACCGACCTTAAAAGCAAGGGAGAGAGATCTGAGGGTGGCTCATTGGAAAGTCCTACAAGCCGTCTGAAAAGTAAGTGGCCGCCTGAAGACAAGTGGCTTCAATGATTTGTTTCACCAATTATAGGGTCTCACGGCTGATTCAGAATGCAGTGGAAAGCTTGACAAAGTTTGATTAGGTCAGAGTCGAACACATTCACATGTCCTTTGTATTCAATGCTATCGGCTTCCTGAATCGCCGAGAACCCTCTGCAATTGATCTCGTTTTTAGCTATTGGTGAAAACTGAGAGGCCTGGTCAACACAATGCAAGACATGACAAGCGAACGTGTTCCTATTGTGCATGGCACAATCGTGCACCAATCGTGGGATAAAGTCACTGGCCTGACTAACCAATTTCGACTGTGCTTCATCAATCCTTTTAAACTCCGGGTGCTTGGCGTGTTTCGTGTGTTTTACGTGTTTGGTTGGTATTATTTCTCTTCGACTCTTCGCCAATCTAGCCAGTTATGTATCCCAATGTGAAGCCGATCCGTGCAGGGTGCAACCGCAAGCAAGACCCCGAGGTTGACCTTTTTTGTGGACCCTGGATGACTGACTGCATGGGCAACATTTCTCCATGGACTATTCTGCTCAGTTTGAGGAGTTGACTGGGTCAACTAAAGTTTCACTTTGACCCCCGAATTATGAAAGACACGAAGCAACTGGCCCAAATCGCCAGGCTGAGAGATCGTTATTCCACGGATGTTATATTATACATCCAAGATTTGGCTGCTTTTTAAACATGCACATTGATGCTAGTGGGCAGTGTGAAATAACACCAAGTACCCACCATGCCGCCATGAGTGCAAGGGAAACTGCCAGCCACTCAGATTTTGGTAGTGGACTCCGGGCTCCTGTAAAGACAGAAATGGACTTTGAATCCAATCTCAATCTATTAGCTGTTTAATGTTTAATGCATTTTGGCGATACATGCTTTCAGACTCGATTGTGCAACGTAGCCAAATTGCACGCCACTTCAGCTGCGCATCCTGCCCAGGAGATGTCGGTGTCGTTTCCTTTTTCAAGCAACTTGTTGGCAAGGAGTCGTATTGCGGCATCAGACGGGCCAGACGTGCTCGATTTGGATGATTTGGGCATAGGACACTTGAGCAATTGGCACATGGAGTGTATTATGTATATATATATATATTTATAAACATATTTATGTATATAGATATGTACATTCTATATTATATATCTGTACATGTGCACATAATATGTATGTATATATATATATCATATTGTCATGATTTGTAATGATTCGTTTTGCACTTTGGATCCTTTGTACTATAGCTTTGCTGATGCTTTGCCTCATGTGGTCAATCCACTGATGGATGGAGCCGGATCCCTTGCCCAGGTAGAGATGACGTTGAGGAGCAAGGGCCTCAGTTGTACATTTCATGCACTCTCAACTGTCAACTATGCGACTCCCATACTACAGGTATACTTACTTGACGTACTTGATCACCTCCACGTCATTAATTAGACTTGGTCGTTTTTTTGTAGAATCACCACAGCTACTTCAAGACTTCAAGGCTGTTTTTGGTGCAAACAACTACATATCCACCACTCAGCATTTGAGCCAAGAGTTTTGACTGGAGCATTTCTCGATACATGCCCTGGGGCTTAGGGCTCTCATGCCAGGATTGTGCAATGTAATGGTTCCTGAGGCCTTCCCCTGCTGCAACACAACGCTGGACTGCCCCATTGGTTCTTACCTGGCGTTTCAGTTGACTTGCAGTGTCATGTTACTGGGACCTAGCTCCCAGGGAAGACTTTGGAACCAGGCACTTCTTTGTGGTGCAGAAAGGCAGCTCATGCCTGATAACATGTCAGCAGCCAGCCACCACTCCTCAGTCCCAAAGTCACATTTGCACGCGTATTCACTGAAGTCACTCAAGTGGTCAACAGAGTTCGGATCCAAGATTTTGTAAAGAGTTTCAGAGAACCAGCTTGGCTTGGATCATTATATACGTAGCTTTAGTGATCAAGGGGTGCTGGATTTATTTGCTGGCCCTGTGCAGCATGCCTGAGACTATGAAAGGCGAGCCGTCGGAAGCCATGAGCGAAACAAGCACTTGACTCGGTCCTATCTCGTCCCTTGCTCCCTATGAAGAATACCCCTTCCGTGGAACGAAGGCCGCATTTTTACGCTGACACCCTGGCAGGTTCTCGCAAGAAGAGCCCACGAAAAGTGATTGATGAAGAAGTGCGAATGAGGCAATTGTGTGGCTTGCCCAAAGGGTTTCGAAGGCGTCAGTGAAAGTGTTAGCCTTGATATACCCACCAAGTTGTGAGCTTCCACCGTACCATCTGCATAGCTTCGGCCTTGCCGCCTTGTCCCGAGGTCAACACGGTGCAATTGCGGCCTCATCTCCAGCGGCTCAAAATCATGTGGCCGTTCCCGGCCCAGGTGCGAAAATTGTTGTTGTTTTGTGGCCGGGCTGTCACTTCCAACTTCAACTCATAAAGCTTTTGGAGCAAAGCGCTAAACCTGTGATACCTTGTGATACCCCCCAAAAAATCCATGCAAATAGGCAAAGGCAATGCCGTGAAGCCACATGCATGGCCCAGTAGCCACTCGTGGAATGATTGTGATACACCTCGGATGTCATCAGGTGTGTAATTCTGCCGATCCATCTACAACATCGATTGTTTGGTTTGCTTTTCTGCTGCTAATGGTGCGAATGCTCCGGATTTTCATGTGCGCGTCAATGCTTGCCGCAAGGCAGCTACAGCTTCAGCACCCACACCGAGGAGATCATAAAGCCTCTCAACAGCTCCTCGGCACTTCATGCTAGCATGATGTTGCTGGCTGCTGCCTGCAGCTAGAGATTTTTAGTTATGTTTAATATGGAGAAGTTAGAAGCCCTTTGCCAATGAGAGGGCCAACAAGATTGCATATTGAAATTGAAACAAGTCTATATTAAGCCCTTGACGTTGCCTTGGCTGTCCGGTGCCCTTTGGAGCAAAAACATAAGCAGTACTGCTTCTGCAAGTTGCATTTCTTTTCTGCAGTCCTATGGAGTCAGAGGCTGCTTGTGTAGCCAGTCAGACTTACAAGGGATGCAGTTGTCCCGAGGCCGAGTCCTTCTGTCCAGACGGCCACGATTTCTGAAGGAAGGAAAGCTTTTCAATCCTGGTCTTGAAAACAGCGTGCCGGGACCTGGATCATATGACGCAAACAAGGCATACAGCATGGGGATGTGCAAGCTCAGCTGCTTGGCTGCAGAGTTTCGAATTTGTAGTAGCTCCTTCTAAGATGAAAATGGAGTTCTCATGAGCACAAGAATCAGAGCCAATGATGTTGCCATTTGTTTACGAGGTAAAGAGAAAGATCCGCCCAAGTGGACCATTGGAACAAGAACGATGATGGAGTTCGCAAAGACCCGCTGCTAAAGCTGGCAGCGCACCAAAGTCGTGGCTGAAGAGCAGCCTGCGATACGCAGTTTCTAGACTCAACAGACTCAACGATCCGCTTGGCAGAGCAAACATTTGGCGACTGCTGGTGACAAGAGCCTCGAAATTCAACAAATAGTGGAGAGAGGTATCGCATTGAAAGTGCCTTCAAGCAAGGTATAGCTTGAAGCTTCATGCTGAATGGATGCCATAAATGTTTGGAGACTGTTTTCCTCCTCACGTGGTTTCATGTGCTTTCCTCGCCTTTGTGCGAGTGGTCTATCGAAATCATGAGCCGCCCTGATACTGTGTACTTTTGTTCGAGTGCTTCGTCAACTTTACTGGCATGCGTGGACCGCTTCTCATCAATTGTTTGTCAGTTCTTTGGTGATTACAGAAGTGCTCCAGTCCCAGATTTGAGTTTGTGTTTAGCTGCTTTTGATCTGCAACATTTCTTAGCACAAAGGTTGAGGTTTGCGTGGCATCAAACCAAGGTGGCCCCCATTTTTGTCATTCTCAAGGGCTTCCTTATGCATGATGCATCATGATGCAATCAATCTACATTGCAATCCGCTTGGCGGCCCGTGTGGTCCAAAGCAACAACTTGGTCGTGCTGGGGGTGTCGCATGCCCCAGGACTTGGAGCCCTTCCTTGTGGAGCTCCTTCGATTCAGCTCTCCAGGCAGGCGAATCCTGCGGCAGATTTGATTAGCAATTCTTTTTGGATTGGGAGCAAGGACGCTACTAGGAGCAAAGGTATTTCAGCATCAATTTGCATAATTTGGGGTTGGTGGCATTGGACTAGAGGACCCTACACTTGCAGGCGTCCTAGAGCAGAACAGACGAAACATGGTTGGACTGCGATCAGCGACGTCAACTGTGTTTGTTGCCAAGTTTTCACTAGTGACTACTAGTGCGAGGCCAGGCAATCAGGCCGCTTGAGATCGTTCGGCCCTCAGTGGCGTACTTTGAGGTCATGAATTGAGCATTGCTGCAGGTGACTCGGTCACTTCCTTTCTTAAGTTTCGGTATGTTTCAGGCGTGAGGTGCAGAAGTTTCCTTTTGGCTTGGGGGGGTGCAGTTGCTTGTGCAAGGTGATCTAGCACTGGTGTATTTGTGGATGGGAATTTGACATGGATAATTCTGCTGACTAGATGACTAGATTAAAGCATCGGTGGCAGGGCTTCTACCAACCTACGCCTGCACGTTCTCCATTCTGTGGACCAAGCCTACAGGAATGTGAGAAAATGGGAGCTTGGGCTTGCACTTCTACTTTTTAAGAACAGTTTTTTGGGGTCAAGCAAGAATTCAAACCTAATATAATAGCAACCAATGGCCTCCAACCTAATAGTCACAGTTCAACCTAATAGCGGGTGCAACTAACAACCAAAGTTGAGGGAACGACGGTCATATTATATATGTTTCCTCTACCGACTGATTCCTTTATGAATCCTCCTTCTGCCACCTTGATGTGACGCTTCAAGGCTTTAGCATGGACAGCTCTGGGCGCAGTGTGTCCACTTGCCGCTCAGGGATTCAGCTCCGCACAGCTTCTCTTTCACTCCTCCTGCACGTGCCTGAAGGGCTTGTGGGAGAAGATGATACTGTAGAAGCGAAGCGCAAGAAAGCAGCCGTAGGACAGAATGACAGAAGTCTCCACAGTTCATATCATTGGCAGGCCTTGAGGAAGTGCTCGAAAGCCCTTAATCCCACTCATCATGAGCTGACCTATACTAACCTAGCGACGGCCAGTGACCTTAGTTTGTGTCCCTTGTGCCACTGCATCGATCTACTCGAATCTACCCAACAGATTGACGTTTAAAGGAGCAGCTGCTTTGTTCAGAATGCCGAGGTCGAATCCACCAGAGTCTTTGGTGCGTACCATCCTCAAAATGTGGCATGCCCCCGGCACAAGAACCACCGTATTCATGGAATGCGGGCCCACTGTAAGATATCGTAACAGAATGTAACAGAGTATCGTACGGCTTTCGTTGAAAATGTCTTAGAAATCGTGCTTGACCATTTCATCATGTCCGCCCTCTTGGCTTTGGGCTATCTCCAGGTATGCCTTGCCCATTGCTGCCCCAGACATGGTGGGAGACAGGCACACTTTGGACTTGACTTGCTTGCTGATCTATTGTTTGTGGCGCTGAACAGCATTACTCAACTATCATCTGTGGTATGGCCACCTGCTACTTGTTGCACACTTTTTTGAGTTTGGGCTGACCGAACTCTGGGTGTGGTCGAACATTTGTCACAGTGGTGCCAGCACCATGGTCCTCGCACCAGTGCTTGTCAGTGGGCCCCTCGACCAACATTTACGTTTGACACCTTTCCAGCAAAAGGCCTAACATGCCTGTTTTTAACGCTTCCGCAGGGAACAGGTCCCAGTTCGAAGCAAAAGCTTTGACCTGGGATTGCTTCGTGTCTCAGATGAACTGCATGGAGCTCAGCTTCAGAGATTTTATGGACATGTCATGACTGACATGTCATGACTGACATGTTTGTAACATGTTGCGTTGGATGTATAGCCCTGTCATTCAGCCTAGGCAGGAAAAGACAAATAGATGAAGAAGCAAGCAGCAAGCATTACACTACAAGACAGCAATTATTTGTGAACAATATGCTACGGGTTCATACGGGTTCTATCTATATAACCTATATATATATACCTATATAAATAAAACAAATACAATATATAATATATACTGTAATAAAAACATATATATATATATATATTAATTTTAAGCACGGGTGGCCCGAAAACACGTTTCCAGGTTCTGACTCACAGCTGCGCCCCAAGAGAGCTCATCAGCCCCACCAAGGCAACAAGACCTGAGCTCAACAGGCCGAGGCCGAGGACTCAAAAAAACATGCCTTTGGTTTTCAATTGTTTCAATTATCATTGATTCAACGCGCTTGACACCCTGACACCCCTTGGACCCTTGGTCATCAACAGTAATTTAGCATGTGGTTGTTGTTCTCATTTTACTTCTTTTTGTATCCCCATTCTGCTTGAGCATTGTTGTACATTTCAGGTCGCAGACAGAGTGATTGGGAGAACTTTCGCATTTGGCTACCCCGCCTCAGTTTGCCGACAGGGGTGAAGCTTAAGCTTTTCGGCTTTGCAGTCTCGATGCTAGGGAATGTCATGGAACTGTACTGCCCGCTCCAGTCGCATTTGTTCGAGCCTTCCCCACCAAATCATAGCAGGTGAGGGTCAACACAGTGTCCATGAGTTCTGACCAGCACTGACTCGACTGACTTCTCTGTCGGATTCCTTGTGTCCACGGGAGATAGATCTAGTTTCAGGGAAACGCCGACTTTTGTTGGAATCTCCAGTATCCGGATGCTGCTACGGGGGTTGCTAGCATTTGCCAGAATTTTTTACCTTCTCCCTGTTCTGTAAAGATGGTCTTGATGCATGGATAGTTGCAACAGTTGTTCTTTAGAGCCGATTTGAACAAAACATGGAAGCTGTATCGATGCGTCGTTCTTTGCCTTAACTCTTGTTTTTCATCAACGTTTTGTTCATGTGAAATTTGTGTGTGTGTGTGTGCGTGCACGTGGATGTCGGGTTTCAGCTGCCGGGTCCGTCCAGGCGGCGTGCCAAGATTGGGACAGGCTTTACTATCGGCTTGGTTCTTGCCTCTTAGCTCGCAGAAGCGATGCTTTTAGATCTAGCTATTTCTAGCTCGCGGGCATGGCAAATGCTCCTGTCGTGTAATCCACCTCAAACTTGGTCATGGAAGCCCCAGCAGAAAGAATCTCAATGTCTAAGTCGAACTACCAGTTGTATCCAGTTGTTAGGTTTAATGCTGCGTTTCACAAGGGTTGTAGGTTTTGGAGCAAATGCAGGGGGTTATCCTTGCTTCAGTCAATGTCAGTCACCATGATTCAGATTCAACATGATTTGTATGGAACAGCTGCATGCAAACAAGTTGTTCGAATCAGTCATGGCAACAGCCTCGAACAAGACAGAGTCTCAGTCACACCGATTGCAGCGAGGCCTACACTGCAGTCGAGTTGGCGCCTCAATAGCGATGATCAACTCTTAGGTTTCCAGCAGTTTTCATTGTGGTACGACCTTGACAATGCAACACACGAGCGTTCAGACTCTCAACTCCAAGCTGTGTCCTGTCGGTTCCACCATCCACCCGATGCTCAGGGCTGCCAAGACCATCTTGAGTGTCAAGGCATTGCGGGGGTCCACGATTTCTGCCTGGACCTAACGACTGTTGCATTATTTGACATGTGTTGACTCGAAAGTGCCCAACACCAAGGATGGTCAGGTGCTGGTGGTTCTACAGGGCGCTGCGCGGAACTTACATGTGCATGTGCAATCAATTATGTGCAAATGTGTGCATGTAAATGCACATGGCCAATATTATATGTATATAAAAATATATTTTAGAATAATACAAATATTCCTTTCCGCATTATGCTTGCGAGAGTCTTCCACCCGAGCTGCTTGGAAATTTTAATAACTGTTGCTTGTACACGCCTGTACATTTTGTAGTGCCTTCCCTGCAACTGTGAGGTGTCCCTGATTTGCGGCATAATTTTCACAGCTGCACAGGAGGCCTGAAGCCACGTTCGAAGCCTGAAGAGACCAGGGTAACTCCATGGGGTACAAAACTTTCGGATGCAACATGATGCCTTGGTAACAGGTGCATCGATAGTAGTAACAAGCGCATTACTGGAAGTAACAAGAAGCTACTATGTTACTATATAGTAACAAGAGCATCGCTAGTAGTAACAAGTGCATTACTGGAAGTAACAAGAAGCTACTAGTAACAAGTGGAAGTAACGCGAAGCTACTGGTAATAAGTGCATCGCTAGTAGCAACAAATGCAGTACTAGTCGTAGTACTGCACTAGCTACTAGTAACAAGTGCACCGCTAGTAGCAACAAGTGCATTTCTGGTAGTAACAAGAAGCTACTCGTAACAAGTGCATTACTAGTAGTAGCAAGAAGCTGGTACTAACAAGTGCATCGCTAGTAGTAACAAGTGCATTATTAGTAGTAGCTAAAAGCTACTAGTAACAAGTGCACCAATACCATAGATGGACAAAATATTAAAACCCTGCAAACCGCTTGGACCCCTTCCACCCCAAAACTCAAAGTTAGTGAGCCTGCCAGAGTGTTTCGGCGAATGGACGAAACAAATCGAACCCAATGAAGTTATGTTCAACATTGAGCTTTGGGGGTTGGGGGTTGGTGACAGTCATCGACTGGGGGGTTTGAATATTTGGTCAATCTACTGTTTAAAGGTGTGACGTTTGCATACTTTTGGTTTTCAAGTCTACTCTTTGTTTTCATTGTTTGTGGTACAAAAGCGATACTGAAGACTGTAAATAACATGTGGAAAATAAATATGTTCATCACATTTGGAAGAAGTCTCACACGCAACCACCACTTTAGTTTCACCACGCTCTTTCCATGTGTTTTCCCAGTGCCTTTTCCAGTGCCTTGTTCACTTTCGCATGGCGCTCCCAGCAAAAATCAATTTTTGGTACGTTTCGTTTCGTTGAACAAAAAAACAATGTGTTTTTCTACAAAGTGAATCACATAGCAAAACCCACGGCAGGCGCACGCAAACTTCGAAAAGGCACTGGGAAAGTACATGTCAACGTAACAGAACAGTAGTCAGCCGACGTCCATACCCAGTACCGTAGTAGTAACAAGCGCATTACTAGTAGTAGCACGAAGCTACTAGTAACAAGTGCATTGCTAGTAGTAACAGGTGCGTCACTAGTAGTATCACGACGCTAGTAGTAGCAAATTGTAGTAACAAGTGCATTAATAGTAGTAGCGAGAAGCTACTACAGTAATAAGTGCATCGCTAGTAGTAACAAATTGTAGTAACAAGTGCGTTTCTAGTAATAGCAAGAAGCTTCTACGGCAGTAACAAGTCCATCGCTAGTAGTATATAACAAGTTGTAACGTAGTAACAAGCGCATTACAGTAGCGATGCCCTTGTGAGCCCTAAAGCTGGTGCAGCTGGAAGTGAGCCAGAGGTTGTCCTGTACTTGAGGTTCATGCTACCCGTTCAGCGGGGGAACCTTTTTGCTTCACTGCGCCCATCCGGTGTTGTTGGCCAGAGGACTAGGCCCACAGAAAATCAGCAGACTAAGTCCTTGGTTTGCCAACCTGGGTATTACACAGATCGACAAAAACAGATACCATGGTGACTGCAGCCCTTGGCCCAGCCGCTGGAAAACTCAGCGAGTTGCAAAAGAGGGGCCAGAGGAGGGCACTGTGATATGTTGCCTTTACCATCCTTTTCCTAGATGTACAGGATACAGTATGTTACATCAGTGTGCTACAGTATTACTGTGCGAGCCATTGACCTTGAAATGTTATCATGGTAGCATCTCTTGAACGCGCTGAACATCAAAAGTAACTTGTAAAGCACCTGAGTCGGGCCCTGTGTGCCTGGGCCACCTTTGTGGATCAATTAGTATTTTCCATTTTCGGATTTGCGCCCATGGCTTGAAATTGTTGACGTGATCCCCATGGTGGCGCCTGGCTTATGGTAGACCTCGGCGGTGCCAACAAGGATATCCTCAAGCGGCAACTGCAAATCCTCCGCAAGGCTCCAAATGAACGAACTCCAGAGGATGTGAAGGCCTTTGCGGCAAGCTTGGGCAAGACCAAGTTCTTTCAGGATCTGGGTGAAAATGATGCTTGCCATATTTTGGAGTGGGGAAATTGAATTGGAATGACACTGTGTGTGTGAGAGCCTTAGCCACTTTGCCAAGTGTGCATGCAAACAACTGCAGTGCAATGCAACCAGGCTAGTTGTGTTTGATTTGTGGCCTAGGGGCCAACATCAATTTTCCGATTGAATTCATAGCCGCGCAAAGTCCATACTTTGTATACGTCATGCTGAGGAAAGGATGCAAGTTTGTCGGTATTTGAAGCTCGAAGGTGCCCCTCGTGACTCCACTGTATTCAAGCAAGGTGACCGTGGTGATAAATTCTATTTGATCCTCTACGGTTCAGTAGGCCGGATGTGCTGACGAAACCTGCAAACACTTGCAACATATGAAGAACTGCCAACAGTCATTTAGCATGTTTTGGCTTTCTTCCTTTGGATTTACTCCCCATATCACCCTTTCACTTTGGTGAGGCGTTTTCATCACAGAGGTGGAGGCCAAAGATGTGGAGTCCAAAGAGTCCAAGGCGGCGCCCTCGGCGGCCTCCGGCGAAGCGCCGCAGGTCGCCGCACAGGCGCACGGCCCAACGAGTCCAGCGAGTCCGGCGAAGCCGGTGCGTGGTGGCTGGGCGAAGCTGCAGAAGTTGGTGCACAATGCGGTGCCTCCAGCAGTGGAACTCGAACTTGTCGAAGAGGCGAAAGAGGTGACAGGACATCAACTCGAGGTCAAGAGCATAAGGTTAATATAGATTAATGATGATTAATGGAAGCCACATGCGGGATCTGTGTGGAATCAAGATCTTTGAACTTGTAGATGTGTCCAACTGACCTTTCACGCAGAGCTGCAGGAGATGCAGTGCACAAAAACGGGAGTGCCACTGAGAACGTCACTGACGACCACGCGCATCACAAGAACGCCAGTGTGGACCATCTCCCCGCTCAGGCGTGTTGCTTTGTGACAAGCCCTTGTACTAACTAGGAGAACAGTCGCATGAAAGGCTGCAGATAGAAAGCTGGAGCCACAAGAGGATGTGGAGGTTGAGGAGCTACAGCCAGAGGCGGGGCACTGGAAGTTTCAGCTGCAAGACTTTGCTTGTTTGTGCATGTCCATGCTGACCTTCCTACGAACCGGGCTTTGGTTGCGCTTAGAGGAGCTTGGGCTTAAGACATCTTGGGGCCTTTCGATTATGATCGACAAAATGCACGTCAAACACATGCACAACCGAGATCTACCCAGGCCCTAGGCCTCAGGAGGTCTGTTTGTCTGCTGAGGAGCCACAGGAGGACAGAAAAGAAGCAAAGCGAGTAACAATCGCTGCAACTGGCACCCAAGAAGGTCCAACACCTTCCACTGAAGGTCATGGTGGCGAAGCAGTTCCTGACAGAGGCCAACTAACACGAGGTTTAAGAACGTATAGATGTGATGATGATGTGATGTGACGTCCTTTAGGCACCTTAAGCATTTTTAAGCCTTAAACTATTATGATATGAAATGTGACGACGTGTGCGACCTTGTGTACAGGATACTGTTTAGAGTCTGATTTACTTTGCACGAAGAAGATTGCACGGTCAGGAGATGGAAAAGAATACCGCAAATTACAGATGAATAGAAGTGAAAGCAGGCCAGGAAAATATTGTACGTCTTATATTTTCCCTCAAATGTCAATTTCTACTGGGGGCCTGGGGCCAACTCACGTAGAGCCCGTAGAGCGCTGTCCCGCTATCCCCTCCATTGAGGTGTCGGATTTGTCAATGATGTGAGGAAGGTTTGACACAGTGTGCTTGCATTTTTTTCTCAGGATTTCGACTTAGATTTCAGATTTGGGCGATTTGGCGATGTACTTACGGTACTTGTGCGATGTTCGCAAGGCTTTCGGTCAAGTCAACTGGCAGTGAGCACAGTGAGGGCGAAGCCACTTTGGTTCGCGAGAACAGCCTGGTGTCGCAAATTCAAAGTATTGGGGCCATGGCCAAGCAGGAGATGAAGGAGCTGAGCTGAGCTGGGTTCCACAAAACGACCTCCTTCAAGCCTTCAATTTATGAGTTCAACTCCAGCAGTGGGATGGAAGCCGTTCACGAAGATGCATGTACATGCATGACATGCGAATATATATATATATGTATTTATTTATACAATTATATTCACACAAACAACACAAATATAGCAGCAAATAGCAGAATATACGAGAGTGGTTCAGAAGGGCTGACTTGTTTGCCCGATGCAGCTCGGAAGAATGCAGCGCGCAGAACTACTGACGGCATTTTTCCTTTGCCTTGCGGGGTTGCCTTGAAAGCCGACGTTAGCTAGCTGACTATGTTGTTGCTTTAGCAAGACAGGGAAGACCTCAGGCCAACACAATGATCTTTCATCAATTAGAATCCCCCGCTTCTCTTCTGCCCCCTCAGTGAGGAACATTGCCAATACATGACAATGGTAGTTGGCCGTTGCGGTTAGGCATAGAGTAGTTGCTTCTTTGAACCAGAACTGCACAGTGATGCACTTTCGCAACTGATTGCCCTAGCTTTCGTTAATCTTTGCTGCTTGCCTCAAGTCGTAGTCCAAGTCGGATCATTCTAATGCAGTGAGATTGAAACGATCACCCTGACTTGTTCGCTTTTGTCAGGAGCGGGAGGATGAAGCTAAGGCAGCAAAGGCAAAGGCTTTTGCAGCAAAAGGCGTAAGGACAGGGTTGTCACTAGAGAGAAGTGTAGAAGGCCTTTAAAGCAACACTAACATGGAGGTCCCAAAATACTTTCACAGTCTCCAACATTTTCCAACAACACTGTCAGATACTTTCAGATGGAATTTGCGCTCAATCCATTTTTGAAATGTACGGTAATTCGATGACCCCACTGTGTCATTGGAAATGGTGATGAGGTGAGTGTGACATATTTAGACAGTAACCCCTGCCAAGGGCTGAGGTTTGCAGCTAGCCAGAATTCGAGGCTTTTGCATATCGATTGCTCTGGTCGCTGAAGGAGCAGCTTGATGCGCAGCATTTTTGCGCGGCCCCTCTTCCACCTTCGAGGCCCGATGGAGTTGGCCTCAACACGGTTTGGGAGTGCCTCCTTGAGCCAGGTGAACAGGCTTTTGAATGTTTTCTCCGACCTCAATTCATGTGTAATGTCCACCTCTGAATGATAACCCCCCCCTTGATCAAGTGGGGCCCTAAATAATAAATCCAGAAAAATATTGATTTGAGTTGGAAATGAAAGGAAAGGAAATTAAAGGAAAGGAACATAAATGAAAGGAAAACGAAAGGAAAGGACAATGAAAGTAAGGGAAATGAAATTGAAAGGAAAGGGAAGGAACGAATAAAAGAAAAGGACATGAAAGGAAATAAGAGGAAATGAAAGGACATAGATCAGGGTCCAGAAAAACATATTTTTATTTGGGGACCATTTATATTTTTTGACAACTTTTATATAGTATTATTCACGGGCCATTTAAAAATCCGAAGTCAACATTACTTCCTACAGTGCAACCAGAACATTTTATTGAGCAAGACATGTTTGCCATGTTCACTGCAAACCACTTGCAACGAGGTTCCAAACCTCCCCGTTGGCAGGTCCGAACTTGATTGAAGTGGCTGTGCTCTCGGTGGGTGATTGTTTCGGTGAAGTGGCGCTGCAAACAGACCAGCCACTTTGGATAACGTTGGCACTTAGTGGGTTTGCAGGAGTTTGCTTGGTTCGAGAATGCTTAGCTTTTAAGAAGCTTGTTTGAAGATTTTATGCCAACAGCCAGCCCAGGTGCTCGTTTGCACTTCAACGGATTTCTTTGTTTGAGATACTTTCTCAGGCTCCCCTCAGGAGGCAGTCTCCATAGATGCCACCTGCTTTTGGCAATCTATGGGTTTTCATATCAGACCTGCCTGCAGATGTTGTGATGGAAGTTGTTTGGGCAAGTTAAGATTATGAGAGTTCAAGGTGCCCAAGGGGAAAAAGTGCTAGGCAGCATACCTAGATAGATTTGGCAGGATTATACTGTACTCAATTAATCATCGTCACCATATCCAAGTATCATCCACAGCCTCTAAGGCCACGCGCCGCCACTGTGAAGACCCGCTCCGATGCCATTTTTGCAACTTTGGTCCGAGAGGACTACAAAGCGATTCTCCACTCACAACTCCAGGCTATGCAAGAAGAGCGACGCTGGGGCTGGAGGAACTAACACAGACCCTTTCAACAGGCCTTTCTTTCCTCCGGCCGTCCGCAGAGGTTCTAAGTTCTATGGAAAAGGCTTTTTACTGAAGGTCAATTGATGTGGAGCATTTGGAAGGCCAAGGGGCCGGCCAAATAGGTTGGGGGGAATCGGACAGAATATAATGGAGGGTTTCTCTGGCAATCACAATATTGCGACAGTTCCCGCACGTGTAAACGCTTTGTGTTACCGAGATGCTTTTGGAGACCTATATTGTAACGTAGATTGCCCTTGTGTTCAAGGTCAAGGCTTCTTGCGGAGCATTGCGTTACTGAAGAACTTGCCCAATATTCCGAACCTGGCGGCGCTAATGCAGCGCCGCGTCTTGTGTCGGCATGGACTCCTCATCAACATCGGAGTTCCTGTGGCTTTGGCTAGGCTTTAGCATCAAACTTTTTCCATGGAGTGTGTGACATGAGTTTTCTATGAGTGTTCTATGATATTTCCATGGGTGATGTTCTTAGTTGGACTGGAGTTGGGCCACATGACTGCCAGGTGATGCACATGTACATGGTCTTTGAGGGAAACTTTTCACTACGTGGACGGATCAAGAGAATCAAGACTGAAGAGAAGGCGTGAGTGACATGTGACTCCAGTGATGGACACCAGGACACCCAAAGTTGCACATCGATTGAACCACATGAGGCCCACTGTTTTTGGATGACTAGCAGTGTCACACTGCGGCGAGCGCTGTGGCAGAACCTACTGAATAATTTGTATATCAACTATTCCGGACCAGCGCGGGTCAATCGTTTATCGAGGAGAAGAAGGGCGAACCCAAAGCTGGCACATCTGGCACATCGGACGTGGAACGGCGACGCCGGCCCTCGGACCTGGAAAGAGAGAAGGAGCCAAAGGACAAAGACAAGTTTGACGCCAAGATCGAGAAACAGACCGTGTCCCGCATTGCTCCTGGTTTTGAAGTTAAATGCCGAGTGGTATGGGACATAGTCGAACAACGTGCGGAAAAAGACGTCTTCAAGATCAAGCCTCTCAGGGCCTGGAAAAATCCGGGCTTTTGTATCCCAACAGCTTCGAACAGCTTGCTTGCTGTAGCTGCAATTGATTTTAATGGGCTACCCTACCTTCCCTTGGTTTGAAAAATAACGAGGCTTGTCATAGGTTGGCTTGAATATGATTGAACCAATTTCATGTGCGCTCTCCCTCATGCCAGAAAATTCTCAGGTACTCTCTGTGATGCCTCCAGGGAGCACATATGGCCTCAGCCATTTCTTGAAGGGCGAGCGGGAGCATCTTCGCCAGGTCATTTGTGAATCCTCCAGCGGCCTCGTCTACACACTTTTTGCCAAAGATGTTGCAGCCCACCTGAGTCAACAAGAGCGTTTGCAAGTCGTTGCAACCGTCCCTCGTTTCAATTGTGCGGTCTCGGGAGCTGTCCAACATAGTAGTGCCAGGAGCTACTAGTAGCGATGCTCTTGCTCCTAGTAGCGATGCCCTTGTTACTAGTAGCTTCTTGTTCCTAGTAGTAATGCCAGGAGCTACTAGTAGCGTCCTTGATTCAGTTTTATCGGGTTCGCCCACTGACCACGAGGCCTCGGCAGAAGAAGCCTTCTTCAGACAGAGATGTGTTGCTGTGGGGCAACTGGCAAGTACTCGCCAGACAGAGAAAGTCAAAAGTGTGTGGCCACCAGAGAAGACCTTGTTAGACAAAGTGCGAGAGTATAGAGATGCTTGTCATTCAGGATATCGGTGCGTTTTCAAGGTTTCAAGGGGACCACTGGACCACTTCAGTACTGAGCCACTGCATCGTAAAGTGTTGCATTTGGCGGCAATCCAATGGTACTCATACTGGCCGGCACTTTGCGTGACAAGAGTAAAGCATTTATATATATACTGTATATATATATACACATACATAAATATATGATGAGGTAAACTTTTGCCACGTGAAGCCTCGCGCATCCTGGCGCTTGTTGTGCGACTCAGGATGTCTTCAATGCCACAAGTATCTACTCGCCCGAGGGGTGTTTGCGAGCAATCGGCACGGCCTTCCTGGAAGACACCAAGTGTCAAGAAGCGCAGCTTCGGTTTGAAAAGGTTCAAACGGCGAAGCAATGTGTCAACCAGACAAGCACCTCGGCGAGGAGACATCTGGATGGTTTAATTTTGTGTGGAAATGTTTGCCAAAGTCACGAGTCCTCGTCAGTTGGTGTTGGTTCCACCTCCACAAATGGAGGACCGGACAGGGTCAGCCAAGCATGGCCAAGCACAGAAAATGAGCACCCGAGGTCCGCGTGACGAGAAGACACGGGCGTCTGAGACGCCCGCAGACATGTCGATGCTCCGTCCTTGGCACATGCAAGAGCTTGCAGAGAACGTCTACCATGTGAGCTTGGCAGAGGGATTCGGGGATTCGGATGGATTTGGGCTGTTTGCGCAGGTTCAGGATTTGCTTATTTATTGTTGTGCTCCATGACAGGTGGTTGTTGTGCCTGAGTTAATTACTTGCGACACGATTTTTACTTTACCCAAAACATGCCAAAATCCAAGTCTGCATGGGCGCGGCATCTCAACTTCGGATGTCTCGATCGAAAGGCCTGTCATGACGTCTCGAATCCTGGTGCCTTAGCTGCTGACTTGCAAACGGCGGTGGAGAAGGACATCCGCATGGCTCGCAGGGCACAAAATCAGTTCTTGGTGTCTTGGCCTCCACCGCAGGCCTTTTGCTGCGGGCACTTCTTTTTACCTGTGGTTGCTATTGATTTTCTGTGCAACTGTGTGCGCAGTAGTGCACAAGTGCTGCTTAAGATAGTTGATGTTTTTCACGGAAACAAAAGGATCCAAGGTGCCGCTGGTGCGACGGCCTTTCAATCCCTTGGAGGATGAACCACTGGTGGAAGCGAGCGAAGCCAGGGCACAGCCTTCGGAGCCAGTCGTTTGTTCTCATTTTGCATTGTGTTGCATGCACTTGGTTGTCCACCGTTCGTTCAGTTTGAGATCCTCCCTACACTTGGATCTCGTTTGGGCGAGTCCATCATCAAAACCGTTGCCGCGCACTAGTAATTGCCTATTCCTGCATGCATGCCTCAAGAAACATAGAACGCGCGGACCCAAATTTAGCTCAGGCGATGTTTGACAGCAATGTTTGGATGTTATGGTTGGTTGTTAAGAATCACCTGTTTGAAGAGTTCTGGCCAAAAGCCTGGAATTGCTCATACATGCACAGAAACGTACCCTTGACGCCCACTTGTAATCAAGGTCCACATTGATTGGCCAGAGTTTGGACTTTGGACAGAGAGTGTCGGCAAACTTAGCCCTTTTTTACGATAAACCAGCAGCAGTAGCAGTTGTGTCTAGCATAATGAAGCGCACGATCAGGGGGTCGAATTATATAGACAAATCCAAAAATCAGATCACATGGTCAGAGCAGTCAGATTCCCAGTATTTCGCTAACGGTAATGTGGGAAGTTGAGGGAAAAACGGGGTGGTATTGATGAACAGCAACTTTGGACCGGAACAGGAGAGGTAGAACAGAACCGTAGATCAACGATATGTATATAAGGAGGACAAGGCAAGGCATGAGTTGTGCTCGGATTTCACCCTTCCAATCCAGTCTATTTAATCTAGCAGGACACTGATTTCAATTAACAGGAGTCAACGGATGATTTAACGTGATTCAACTATCAAATACTACATATCAATCAATATTTACCGCGGCCCCTCAACTATCCAACTGTGCTAAAAGCAACCCAGCGGAGACATTTTCAGGGGCAGTTAGTTTCCAAGATACTAGTAGCCCAAGTGTGATGAGTGGTTCGTGGTTAGCAAAGCTGTTCCTAGTAGCATGCAGCTAAGGGGGCATTGCACGCTTGTGCTTTGTTGTGAAACGCTTTACAGTTGGTGGTCGTTTGGCAGATCTACCCATGGATCCTACCCATCTTAACTATATATAGACAGATATATATATATATATTTTTATATAGTGCTGTGACTCAGGGACACAGCGTGAGAGTCTATCATGTGGGAGGGTGTCTCCTTGCCGAGGTTCCAACACGTGTCTCCTTGCAAAATCCGAAGAGACGTCTCAGCATTCCAAGCGCTTGGAAGAGTGAGCCTAGTGACACGTTTGAAATGGACACCCCAACGTCCAGTCACGTGGATACCCTTCCAGAGCTTTGGAGATTGGAGAGTCACGAGTGTTCCAAGTCAAAGAAGCTCGTCAAAATTTGAGTGGTTTTATGTCGGCAAGTCATTTCATTTCAACTGATGACTTCGGCCTTTTTTTTGGCTCTGCCACTATGCTGGGACATGCTAAGCTGCTAAGACGTTCCTGAAGACATCCAGCCTGTGCACCAAGGATGGCGGAGGAAGACTGCACCACACTGCCTTGTGATTTCTTCTCGGCAAGGCTGATGGAGCTTTGCAGCCCTCGCAGCTGTGATCGCAGCCCACGCGAAGTGCCATCAGCTTGTAGCACCCGACTGCCATGCTCCCGAGGGTCCCGGACTTCGAGGATGAGTGGAGAGAAGTCGCCTTGGCCTTCCATTGGATTTTGGGCGAACATTATTGGTTTGACATTGCTTTTGCGACGAATTTGTTCAATCACATCCCTTCATGTTGTTGTCAATGTGGCACCGTCGTGCCCGTGGAGATGATCAAATCTTTTACTCGTGGAGTATTTAATATATGTTTAAATTTCAATACTATTTATATACACATAAAACTCGGCAGGACAGGATGATGGTTCTTCCCAATATTGACTGGTCACTAGACCAAGGACTCCAACTGGACAGCGTGTTCATCAGCAAGAGCTCCAGGCAGCTTGACTAACATGTTTGTGTTAGAGTGCCTGACGTCATGTTTCACCTGATTATTTGCCGACATTGCGGCGAATAGAAAAAAGGGTATCGGGTTGGCCGCGGCCCTGAGCCTTGGAAGTGGGTCAATGGGAAATGCATGGGGAAACGCGTGGGATCTTTTGGCAGCCGCTGTTGCATACTATGTTCACGAATCTCATACATTTTTAGCGTTGCCTCATTTGCAGACAACCTTACGGGCGGCGAACACCATGACCGAGTTGCACATTGCAAGACACTCCCCCTAACATACAGTCTAACATACCAATGGTGAACACTGCAGGTTGTGCAAAGGCGGATCGCAAGCAAGTGTCCCTTTGGCACAAATTTCTCCAGTTATATACATGTTGTTTCCGTTTGCGACGCTGAATCTTCTTGTCACTTTCTTCCCTGTCCGTTCCAGGGCAAGGTTGGCGTGAAGACCGCGTTCTTGCCGAGTAGTACTTTGAGCCGCAAGCTGAGACTCGAGAGCTGCATGTAAGAAGCAACGGAGTGACCCTGGCCTCCCAGATTACTTTGCACACGATGATTCATTTGCTTTAAACAGGCTTTACTTAGCTTTAATCAACTTCAACGTCTTCAACATGCTACTTTAGTAGATTAGTAGTAAGAAGTGTTTCATATTCCGGAAGCAACCATGTGGGGGAGAAAAGAAACGTGACGCAATGTCACGCAGCGTAGCTGGGGATTTGGCCTGACTGGATCAAGACAGATATGTTTCGATGACGTGTCAGACTTTTTCACCCCTTTTGCTGCATGCATTCTTTCTCCAATACATTGCAAACAGTAGCGCAGTAGCGGTTCCAAGCATCGCGAAGGCAATGAGAGGGGCAATCAGTGTGAACATGGTGACAACATGTGGCAACATTTGCACTGCCGAGTGGGTGCTTGCTACAGGGTTCCACCACCTCAACTTGTAGTCAAACAAAGCTGCAGGAATCCAACCTGAGTGAAGTGATTCTGAAGTGATTAACAAATTTTGTTTTGGCCAAGAAGTTTTGGGGCCAGAAGGTTGAACGAGATGGGTTGCCATGATTGTGATGTGGTCACTCCATCGTCTCCCAACCAAGGCTGTTTACCAGTAGGGCGGCTCAGAAGAGCTTGGCGGAAGGTTTGGCCGCTAGCGGTTCTGACATCAAAGATCGTATGGTGGAGACATGAGATCTCTATACAGGGCTTGATTTTGGTGCAAATTTTTGCGTTTGTGCTTTCGACAAGCACCTCCCTGGCTGATGAAACGTATACAGCACAGTATGTGTTGCTCGCAAGTTATGATTTGACGCCTTCACCATCCCTAGAAAATGCGTGCAGGAACACAGCTTTGTTTGACCGGCCGAGGTGTCCGTGGGGTTCTCATTGAGTTTGGGGCCCCGGTCTGGCCACCGCATGCTCAGCTTCAAATGCTTTATTCCACTTGGAGGCCATCGCTACTAGGTTGGAGGCCATCGCTATTGTATAATGAGGTGGAGGCCATTGCTCTTAGGATGGAGGCCATCACTCTCAGGAAGGAAGCCATTCCTATTAGGTTAATTCATGTTGGCTATATACATACATATTGATGGTTCTTGAAATGCTTTCTTCCGGCCTGGTTGAGGCCAAAGTGCTTTGGCGTGGGCCATTTGCCGAGGGATCGGAGCTGTTGGGGGTGCCCAGGACGAATCATGAGTGAAGCCAAATGGCAACTCCCATACTCTGCGCGTTGGAAACTGTTTAGTCAAACCCCAAATGAGTTATAACACATCCTGAGAGAAAAGACTGAACCCCAAGATAGTGAACCACGGCACTTGTATTTGGACCCAGTCCCCCCCGCAAAAAAGAAAACTTACCTGCGTGATTCCAGATGCTGTGTGCACGTTCAAGCCTTCGATGAAAAACATGAGAGTTCTTTTCCTTGCGACTTCACTTGCCCCCAGCAGGCTGATTTTGGAATCGTTTGTGCCGACTCTTGAGGCAGCAATCTTGGTAACAGGCAGGGGCCTCGGTGGCATATATACAGATTCTTTCAGTTCTCCTTCAAGCCTTGGAATCTTCTGTGAAGCTGTGCAGCGAATGGAGTGCAGCGAAGTTCTCAGGTTACCTCTACATGCCATTGTGTGCTCTCTTGAGTGCCCTTGTTTTCCGGCGGCGCTATGGCTGGTTAGAGGCCAATTCTGATCCGGTTGGTGCGTTTAAGCAGCCAAAACATTAGTCAATGCATCGCATACCGCATACCTTTGTGGCAGGTGCATGGACTTGTCTTCCTGACATTGAGCATCATGATCTTTGTTGAGCTTGGAGCACGCCATTGGGCAGCAGTGGAGCTGATGCTTGTGTGGGATTGCAGACAGACAAATCTAGTCTGCCATTTTGGGTGATTGTAGGGGTAGCTTTCATTCGAGGCGAGACCGGACTATCCCACTCGTACCAGGTGCGCGGTGCGGAGCAAAAGCACACAAAAAGGTTGTTCTCGGTTGTTTGCGTGTTATATCATTTGCCCGGGTGGTGTGGGACGGGAAGCCGGTGGAGCGTTTGAATTTGCTGTGGCGAAGCGCAGCTTGTGTGACCTCCCAGTGCCAGGCCATTCACTACAATTTCATCTCCATTGCACGAACCTCAGGACACCTGGAGCAGAGGGATGAGGTCAGAGGACCTCGTATGACTATGGTTGATGAGATGTGCATGGCCAGCTTGTGGAGAAGTTTCTCAGCTCGATGGCGGATTCAGTGCCTAATGCATCCTAATGCCGTTTGTGGCAGTTTCGGAGAACGATTCTAGATGGCCAGAGAGCTGCACGGCACTCTCATGTTCAAACTTCCTGTGTGAGAGCGTTTTGCATCATGCAGGTTTTCTCGTGTTCGGCATCGGTCTACTTGGAGAAGTTGTTGAAGCCCAAATACTCAGAAAGGACCGAACGAATTGAGCATGCAGTGCAGCGGCTTTGGCTTTGTATCGAGAGTTTCTTCACGAATCAGGCGAGAGAGAGAGAGAGCATTCAGCATTGTGTATTATAACACTATTGTTGAAACCTGTGCCTGATCCACCGAAGACACGAGACATCATCAAACACAGGAGCAGCCTTGATCAGCACTTCTACATCCAAAAGGCTGGGCTGGGCGATTCGGCCGGAGAATGACCGGAAGTAGGTGCATGGAAGTGTATCACTTGTTTTGTGTTCATACACTTCCAAGGTGATGGAAGGCTGGATTTGGGAGCTTGTAAGGGAATGCAGAGACACAGCTGGAATCAGGTTTGGCTGGAGACTGGTGGCTTGCTACTGTCAATTCCTACGTTGTTGGTAGCTCAGATTTGCAGCCCCAGCTGTTCAAGGGCATCGTCGCACATCGTAGCCACTCAGCAGGGACTAGATGAGTATGCACTTTCGAGCCCAGACAGCACTCATATTCAACTTTATCAGGTTGTGTCAGTGGGACGTATGGCCGCAAGCGGCAAGCTGAGGTTTGTACTTCGAGCTTTCTCCACGGGAACGAGTCTTTTCTCTGGCTCGTGGTGCCCTGTCATTTTGAGACTCCATGTTGCACTCATAGGCCTTTGTGTTCTGGATTGCAGTCAAAGATTGTCAAATTATTCCACTAAGTCCGTTGATTGAAGTTCGATTTGCAAGGACCCGAGGGTTTTCAAGCATTTTTGCACATGAAGAACTTGCAGGTTGCAGATGATACACGTTGCATTTTCCGGATGGATGTGTTTGGTGCCCAGGAGCTTTTCTTGTTTTTGAGACAGCACTGCATGCGACATGACAAATCCACCCACCTTGATGCGACATCAGTCCACCCAAGACTAAGCACCTAACACGCCTTTGACAAATACCGTTGCAAGATATCAAACATTTGAAACTACGACTTAGTGCAGCCGTCTCACGGATTTGTTTATTCAGTTCAAACCTTTTGTTTGAAGTCGTGCCTTGTGGGTGTGTTGCTGCTGCCACGAGGGCTTTTTGCATCTTTTTGCCAGGCGCTGCAATCCTTGCGAGAGTGGTTCAGAGTTGGTGGGGTGCTGAGCATTCAGTTACATCGCACCAGGCTCCAGAAAGTTGCGGTTTGCCATGCAACTTCTATCTTGGAGATGCATCCTTCATAGTGTAATTCGATGTGGAGAGTGGCTCTTGGGGGAAATTGAAAGGTTTGATGGAAGTGAAGAACTGGGGAGGTTTACTGGTTATGTCTCCAAATACCTCTCAACGCTTGGACGCGCTGCGTGGGCCTCAGCCAGAAGCGGGAAGACACATTCTTTTACCGAGAGTCTTTCTCAGTGGCAGCGGTGGTCGCTATGATGTTTTTCGGGGATATTGATGCCGCGTTTGATGCTGCACAATTCAGTTTTGAGAATTATATAGCATTCATCAACAGGTCATCCAGTGTGTCGCTGTGATCTTGGTCCACTTCTGGGACACTTTCTTCTTCGGCAAGCAACTTAGCCCCAGCCGAGGGTCTTGGCCCAAAAGGTAGCACATCCAAGAAAAGCTCACATAGGCAGAGACAGCAGAGACCTTTGAAGCCTTTTGTCACACGTGTGTATGCAGAAGTCAGCTTGGCTTTTGTAGAAATCGGGCCGTGTGAAAAGAAATCGGGTGCGACAGGGGTTTCCAACGGTTTCCATTAAGGCGAGCACTGGAGTTTGGTGACGACCCTTTTGGCCATCGTGGTGGCCTGGCGGAGTGGCCAGAGGGATTTGATGTCCGCATTGGCAGGGCTACGGTTGGTGCACAGAGAGATTCAGAGCTCTTATAGTCAACGTTTCAGAGCTCTGATGCACCCAAATTTTCACCGAATGCCTTCTTCGCTGCACCGGGCCAGTACTTTTCAGAGCAATGCCCTTTTGAGACGCTCACTAGATGACATCACAAGCGGCACATGCGTGAACGGTCACTCCAATTGAATCCCGAAGTTTCGAGGAAGAGAGACACTGCTGAGAATGAAAGAGACACACTAATGATCCATCCCGGTGTGAACTGCTGAGCCCCACAAGCAAAGACAGACAGACAGACACCTAAGGTTTGCTTGAGTGCGATGATGTACCAAACAGGGCGCAGGTGCATGGTGCTTGTTCAGCGGAAAGACTGTCGAGCTGGAATCAACTATGTAACAATGCTGAGATGGAACGGGTACATTGGCGTGATTTTGAATCGGGCGACGTGTGAAATAATTAAAGCAGACCTTTGTAATATATATATACAGACACATAATATTACTGTAAGTTACTAAAAGTCTAGAAACCAAATCATTGTATAGCCTGCGTCCTACCTAGGAGCGTCCTGTACCTACTAGCTACCTCTCCCTTACTTCATTAAGTAGGCCCCTACTTAAGTAAGCAGGGAGGGGGAGGGAACGGGCTAATCCAAAAGTGGAATGCCACACTTTGCAAGAACGGCACACTTCCATAAAACGGCATGATCGATGCATACTCCAGGATTACATCTGTTCTGCCTGGCCGTCCTCATGGACGATCCCAATCAACAGGTGCACATACGCTGTTTTAGACGCATGCACTTTGTCGCGGCCTCGTGTTATATTCGCTTGGAGTCGCCATGTAGTTATATAATGCTATATAGTGAAGGCCATTCGTGATAGAGTGGATGTTCTTCTGACCATCTGCAGACTGAGATAGTCATTCAACATCATTTACTGCATCCAACCTGGCTCTGAAACTGAGCTGCGCTCCCTTCAAGTGGGAAGGAGATGCTCTCGCCGATGGTGATCGCGGACTTCAGGCCGCCTGTGGTAGGTCCCGGATGGAGACGCTGGTCCTTGAGTGAGGGAGACATGGAGCCGCAAGTTCTTGACCTATATAGTCATCCTGGGCCATCCTAGGTTCTCAGTCTGAACCAGTCACTGCCAGTTTGTAGACCCTCCAATGTCGGCTCAACTCAGAGCCCACACATGCAGGCCTCAGCCAGTAGCCAGACAGGCCAGAAGATCGGGATAGATCGGGCATGTTTGGCACATGTCCTCCATCCATCACGTATATAATATTTATATATTATACTGTATATATATATATATTACATATTCAACTAGTGCTATACTATACCGACTTTCAGTTTGCGAGAAACTGGACTTGGTTAAGATTGTGCTTGCATTGATGTACGTACACTGCACATGTTTGTCCATTATGTTTGAGGCTTGCGGTATTTGCGGGTGTCCATTCTCCTCATAAGATATCACACATGTGTTTGCATTCCATTCGGATTGAATGGGCATGGTGTAGCTGGTAGCTATTATTGCCATGCCTTGAGTTGTGCATGTTATTTAGACTTGTTTACACAAACCTTGACCCAAAAGTTGCTTGGCTCGCGCGGTACGGTATATCATATAGAGTGGTATTGTGTCATGGTATGTAGAAACTGATCCCGTTCTATTCCCAATGAACTCCGTGCATGCCAATGTTTGTCAAAGCAAACCAAAAAAATAGATGGGTGCTTGGCAGAAGGGTATCCTCAAATCCTGGATGTCCATGGCGGATCATGGCGGTAGTTTTCGGCAGCTTGGTGATTGTTCTTGTGCTGGAGTTTCCCAGATCGCTATGGATTCAGATTCGTCAATCGCCGCTTCTCCAGTGAAGACGGAGTTGTGTGATTAGGTGCAGGGGTTGGATTTGCCAGACTCCCGGATGGCCTTTCATTAAGGCGCAGATGCCTCGCAATCGATGGGGGCATCTACGCGGAGGCGTGGAGTAACAACTTCTTATATATATATATATGTCTGTGCTCATTCAGCACATGCACATGATGCACAGTGATCCAACCTGTCATCATTTTCCTTTGTGTTCTTCAAACACCAGCTTCACATCTTTCACAGGAGCGACGGCAGCATCCTGATTCCGAACGCGCAGCTCATAAGCTGCGAGTCTTCCAACTTAGTCTTTGCGATGTGTGACAGTACTGCTTCCAGCGGCTTGTGACATGTCAATTGTCTCTCAGAGTTGACAACAACTGCGCGCCACATGCGACAACGTGTCACTTGTCTCCATTTTTCTTGTCCGAGGTTCGAGCCCAATGGACAGACTGACCAGACCGATCAGCCAGCTGAGCAGGCATGGTGTGGCACAAGGGATGTTGCAGTAGAATAGAAGCTACTAGTAAGAAGGGCATCTCTACTAGTAACAAGGGCATTACTAGTAGCTAGATGCTACTAGTAACAAGGGATGTTGCAGTAAAACCTGCCCCTATCAGATCCTATCAGAACATCAGAGTTTGGCGAAGTCCATCTCGGCTCGAGCGACCGGCCGTGCCAGTGCTGCTTCAGGACTTCCTGGGGTTGGGATGATCGAAGTGAGATGAAATCAGTCATGGATTCACGAGGGTCGCTGCAACTGATGTCGCACGCGCATGCTTATTAGATCTTACTATATATTATATATAGATCAGATCTAAATAGATCATTTTGGATGCCTCTACAAAGCCTCAAAAAGAGCAAGGTCAAGGTTCTGAGCAAAAACATATTGGAGAGCCCTACCCGTCGGCGAAGTATTCTGATATATTCTGATTCTTTTTCGGAATGCTCGTGACTTGTGCAACAGTCACAGTCAAGGTGCAACTAAAACAAAAATTGCTGTGATTTATGCAGAAGACTTCCTTTTCACGAGAAGAGTAGGTAAACCTGGAAACTTCTCATGGCTTGCTTGGATATCAAAGAACACAAATTCAAACGCAACTCATGTATGCAGCATGCACAACATTTGCGGAAAGGTTGTGGGCCTTGCGAAGGCATCCCCTATATAGTCTGTAGTAAATTTGGCTTGTGTCGGTTTTGATATCACTCGTTGAGAACGAGAAGGCCTCGTATATTTAAATTGTTGTTAGTTAGTTATTGCTGCATATTGGTGCTAAGCCATCACACTCTAGGCAAATATATTACATAGATCTTTTTTGGCACACCTATATAATGTCATAATGTCTCGCGTACTGAGTTGGGTATTGATTTGCTTCGTCGGCTGTTGGTTTACCGGCATCGTCCAGGATGCCGCCGAAAAGAGCAGCACCAAAGGCGAAACCCGCCACCATGAAGTACACCATTGACTGTCAGCCACTTTTGCAGCAAGCTTGGTGGGGGAGATAATACCGTGGAATCAAATCTAGGATTTTCCGATATTTTCCGTTCCTCCAAACAACACTGTTAAGACAGTTGCAATATTCTGCGACATTTAGGTTTAGGTTGACCATTTTTCTGATTCACTACTGTAAGTGGTTTAGTTCTGCCTTGGAGGAATTGAATGAGATTCATCAGATTAGAGAGCTGAAACTGGACGAGGATGCCAGGGAGACGCATCAACAAATAAAAAAACAATGTATCAACAAATATATAAACAAAAATGCATCAAAATATAAGTAAAAATGCTTCAACCAAAAAACATAGAAAGAACCGAGCCAGGGAAGGAATGAAGGAAGGAAGGAACGAACGAAGCAAGAAAGGAAGCAAGAAAAGGAAGGAAGGAACGAAGCAAGGCGCGCAGACCATTGCAGTTATCAAAGGAAGATGCATTGGGGAAACTCCATGATATTTGTTTTTTGGTCGTGCCAAGTTACATTGCGGGGGAGGCGCTGCGCCCTCCCCCGCGCCCC